TTCTAGTCCAACCCCCTGCCTAGGCAGGAAAGCCTACACTACTTCAGACAAATGGTTATTCAATCTCTTCTTAAAGACTTCCAGTGTTGGAGCATTCACAACTTCTGGAGGCCAGCTGTTCCACTGATTAATTGTTCTAACTGTCAGGAAATTTCTCCTCAGTTCTGAGTTGCTTCTCTCCTTGATTACTTTCCACCCATTGCTTCTTGTCATATCTTCAGGTGCTTTGGAGAATAGTTTGACTCCCTCTTCTTTGTGGCAGCCCCTGAGATATCGAAACACTGCTATCATGTCTCCCCTTAGTCCTTCTTTTCATTAAACTAGTTCCTGCAATCGTTCTTCATGTTTTAGCCTCCAATCCCCTAATCATCTTTGTTGCTCTTCTCTGCACTCTTATATATATGATATAGTTACTTTCAAAATATATTTTTATTATTTTGTGGGGGCTGCATTACTGTTTAATGCTGCATGCAGCCCACAGGTTGGATATATCTGAATCGAAATGCTAATGACAGCCCGTCTCATCAGCCTCAGCGCTCGGACGCGACAGCTCTGCTGCTGGAGGTTTGCGTGGTAAAACCACAGCACCCATCTCATCATATTCCCTCCCCATAGACGCCTAGGCATATCCCCCCTTCACAAGATGTGAGGTTCGGATTAAAACGTGTTGTTCCTTTTCGGTTATCGCCCGTGTAAGAAGCGGCTTGTTTCCCGACGTCATCCGGTTTTAAAGCAGAGGCTTCCTTCGTTGCTTCTCGCAGGCGACTTTCCCACCTCTTTCAGAGAATTAAAAATAAACGACTTTTCATACAGAAGTTACACGCCGCTCAAGGACCAGCTCCGCACATAAAACGCTTCGATCTCCAACTCCTCGCCCCTTTTCTCTTAGCTAGCCGTAAGGACGATTCAACCTATCCGCGCTTCCTCGTTTGCACCGATTGGTACGTCCCGTTCAATTCGCCCCCCCCCCCCCACTGCTGGCCTACTGTTGGTCGGTCCCAACTCGCATCCGGCCTCCGCCGGGGCCTGGTTCCGGCGCGCGCCCTGGAATTCATCCTTTTGCCGTTGTTGGCCGCCGCGATGCTGTTAGTTTCTCTAGTTCGGGCTCGTTGCTTCACCCGGGTGTTCGGCCGTTCGCTCTGCGCTGTTCAGCAGGTAGCTCGCGGGCAAGAACGGAAGGCTGGCAGGAGGTCACTCCGCTACGGAGCCATGGGCTGAGATGGGTTGGGGGGGGGAGCCGGCTCCAAGGGCACTGGGGAGGGGGCATTCGGGGGGGCAGCGGAGACGGAGACCTCCGCAGCCTTTATTACACCCCGCCCTTTTTTTTAGCTGGCGCTTGGTTATAATAAGTGCGAGGAACCAGCAGCTTGTTTTCTAAGGTGCCTCTCAGAAGGTCCACGCCCAGCTGGTAGCAAGGACACAGCGTCATCCCAGTTTGAGGCAAACCACGTTGAAGGGGCGAAGTCCTGTTCTGAAAGGGGTGAAGTGGAGGGGTTGGAAATCTTGGGGCTTCGCAAGAGCGAGGCTTGCAAGGAAACTTGCCCGGCGCGAAGGTGGCTCTGAAGGTTGAATGAAATACGGTGAGGTTCCTCTTGGCCCACCCAGAACGTGCAAAAGAAACGGGGGTTTCAAATAAAGAAATTCTAGTCACTTGACCCCCAGTCGCCCTTGTACCACGGATCTCTGCAGTGAAGCCTTAGTTGGCGAACGTATCCAAAAACACCTTCCTCCTCCTATTTCCTTCCACACAACAACCTTGTGAGGTGGACTGAATTGGGTTGTGTGTGTGAGAGAGAGAAAGACAGACACTAGCCCAAAGTCACCCAGCGGTTTGCCTTTCATCCCTTTTTTAACCTAATCTCCCTATTTAAAGCAAATTTAAATATTTTCAAATATGCATAATGAGGTTCTTTTTAATGTGGGTTGCCGATATTGCGCTCTTGCACATTATTATGCTGTGGCAGCAAGTTTGTACTGTGTACATACTCTGTACTCTTTGAGGGAGATGGGAGATTTAGAAATAGGAAATATAAGTAAATAAATGTAAAAAAGATGCCTTTCAGATATATTTCCAAATGGATTCAAAAAGCTCTGTAAGGCTGACGCACTGCCCTTTAGCACCATCCCTGTAAAGTGCAATTGTTGTCTGGTCTCCAGTATGTTTTCTTCATTCTTGTACAACAGTGTATTTTGAAAAGTGCTAAGAAAAACATTTATTGGAATGTAGACTGTTTCTTAACCAGAAACTTGGTATATTTTTGTATAGCACCATTCAGCCCCATATTGAGAGATAATATAAAGCCTTTTCTTAATATCATTACAATATGTGATAGCAATGATGATTAAATTATAGCAGACACTCTAAGTCACTATTATACATGAAAAATGATTTGTGTGTCCAGAATGACCTAAAAGGTAGTTTTAAAAAGTAAATGGGAGTACTTGGACCACAGGTAAGTGAGGATTGGTCCAAATTGGTTATGTTCTCCCAGGCTTTGTGGCAGAATGGAAAGGGAGCCTATTAGATAACTTTCTTTTTTATTATATGCTGTTTAGGGGGGCATTTATGATTAATTTTTACAATTTTTTCTTAGTTGTACACTTCCCAGAGACATTGGCAATTGGGCAGCCTATGTATTGAATAAATACCGTATTTTTCAGACTATAAGATGCACCAGAGTATAGGACACACCAAGATTTTGAAGAGGTAATTTTTTTTAAAAAAGTTTTTGCCGTCCCCGGCTCCCAGGAGTACTTTGTAGCTCTCCCAAACCCTTTGCACATCCATTTTTGCGAAAAACGGGATGCGCAGGATGAGGTTTCAAGAGGCCAAAAATGCTATATTCAGTGTATAAGACACACCCAGATTTTCACCCTCTTTTTTGGGGAGGAAAGGTGTGTCTTATACTCCGAAAAATACGGTATATGATTAGATAATTTATATATATATATATATATATATATATA